AAAACAATTTGACAGAACTTAATAAATTTAAAGATGTTCATGCTCTGTAACCCAATGATTAATGCACTAAAGTACACATCAACACAGAGGCTAGTCAACAATGTTGAACATCAAAAGCAAGCTAAAAAGACAACAATAACAGGATACCATTTACATTCAAAATTTAGAACCTGCAGAAACACAGGTCAGAGGATACCTATACTTAAAAAAAATATATGACCAAGTAGACAGTATTGACACAGACCAACACTGCATTGTGGTTATCTCAGTGGGAGGATACAAAAGAGCTTCAATAGTACTGCCTAGGCTGGGCACATTGGCTCAAGCCTGTAATCCCAGCACTCTGAGAGGCCAAGATGAGAGGATTGTTTGAGTTCAAGGGTTCAAGACTAGCCTGGGCAACTTGGTGAGACCTCGTCTCTACAATATATCAAAAAATTAGCCAGGCATGGTAGCATGTGTCTGTAGTTCCAGTTACTTGGAAGCAGAAGGATTGCCTGAGCCCAGTTGATGATTACTAGGGTGGCCGTGAGCATGCCAATGCGCTCTAGCCTGGGCGACGGATTGAGACTCTGACTCAGAAGAGAAAAACAAAATAGTACTGGCTATGTACACAGGAATTTACTTACCATTCATTATGTTTTGTTGCATGTCTTTAGTATTTCATACTAAATTTTAAAAACAATCTTCTGCCAGATGACAAAGCTCTGTTTATGCTGACCAGATTTAATGTAATCTTGATAACTACATGAGACTAATACATTAAGAATATTTTGGTGCTACATCTTTTCTCCCGATAGTTACTGCTGTCAATTTTTGAAAACATTCTCTCATTGAACAAACATTTATTAAGCACTATATTCATTCTCTCATTCTAAATATTGAACCAGACATATAAAACAGTAAGCAAGAAATGTCAGTATCTGTTCTCATGCAGCTTAAAATCTAGTGGAGAGGCAAGCAATAATCAAATAAGCACATGATCAACATCTATCAATCACTCCTTCCTCCTTAACAATACTCCCTGCACTTGGCTCACCAAATTCCATATGACAGTTTCTCCTTCTCAATCACTGGCTGCTGTTTTGTTTCTAAGCCTCTTTGGTGGGTTCATTGCCAAACAGGACCCCTCTTTTCTCTATGTATATTCACTCTCCTGGTAATCTCATCTGCATTTTTCTTTCAGATTAGAAAATATTGTTTATTTAAAGAGTAAATGGGGGGAGGAGGGGGAGACAGACAGAGAGAGAGAGAGAGAGATTGATTTACCTCTCCAAGGCAGGGAAGGAGACCAAAGTCAGGAAACATGGCGATGGCCATCATCTGTGCTTTTAAATACCAACTCTACACTGACATCTCCCAAACTTGCATTTCCAGCCTAGACTGGATATATACACTGGTGCATATTGCCTAACTCAACATCTTCCTTGCTGTTTAGCAGGCATGTAAAATTATGTATGTCCAAAGCCAAACTCCTGGTTTTGCTTCAAAATTTGTTGCTCTAGCCTTTCTCCACAAGGCTGCATTGCACATTGTATTTTGGCAGTCCCAGGGGTTGTGCAACACAACAATAATAATTTTCATCTTGGAGAATATCAACTATTTGTTTCTAGTGTGTCAGGCCAAAAACCCTGGCATCATTCTTGCTTTCTCTTTCACATCCAGTGTCAGACAACATCTTCCTATCTCTTCTACTCCCACCCTGATCCAAGCCACCTTCATGTCTCATCTCCTACATTCTGTCTGCTCACTTTCCTATATACCTAGTCAGCAGTCAGAAAGAGCTGCTACTCTTGAGCCAGGAGTTTGTTTTCCCTTAGAAAAAAAAGGAAAAAAAGAAGAGCTGCTTAAAACCTAACTCAGAAAATATCACTTCTAAAGTTGCAACTTCCCAACATCAACTTCCCATTCTCTTCTCCTAGCTTTATGGTTTTTATGACACTGTCTAAGCTTACCTCACTCAAAAATAAGATCCACATGGGCAAGAATTTTTGTGTTTTTCACTGCTGTACCTCCAGCAGCTCAACTAGTGCTTGGTTTATAACAGGCATTCAGCAAATACTTGGATCACAACACAAATATAAAATTGCGACTGATAAATCCAGTGAAGTAGAAAGTACTAGGAGAGCCTGTAGGAAGACCATAAAAACTGACCTGAGAAAGTCAAACTTGATCTGAGCACTGAAAGATGAATAGGAGTTACCTAGGATGTGCACAGGCTCAGTGGTGAGAGACTAAAAGAAGGCCAGGATAGCTAGACCAGAAAGAGGTAGAAAAGGTTTCAGATGAGGCTGGAGAAGGCAGGAAGAGGTACAACTATGAAGAGATTTTAAACCATATTACAACTGGTTTGTTTTTATCTTCAAAGCAACAGGAAGCCACAGAGGGATCACTTAAGCAGATTTATATGTTGAAAAGAATACCATGGGTATTGGGTAGAGTTTAGAGGGATCAGAGTAAATGTAGGTAGATCAGGGAAGAGGGTATTGCAGTAATTCAGTTGAGAGAAGATGGGGAGTTGGGAACAGAGACAGGCTAGAAAAGATACTTAGGAGGTTAAAAAAATCAATGGGATTGGCGCTAAAATAGATTAAGGGAGTGTAGTCAAGGACATTTTAAGGTTCACATCTAAATTTCACAAAGTACGGTTAGATGTCCCAGGGGAACACAAAATTTCCCACAGATGTGAAGTCTATGTCTTTAAGTAGTATCATCCAGATCAATCTTCAACATCCAAGCCCCCAGTCACAAATGGCTATTGAGTACTTCAAATGTGGCTACTCCAAATAAAGATGTACTTTAACGGAAAAATATGTGTTGTATTCAAAGGCTTAGCAAAGAAAAGAATGTAAAATATCCCACAAGTTTTTATACTGATTCTAAGTTAAAATGATAATATTTTGTATGTAGCAGGTTAAATAAATCATTAAAATTAATTTCATTTTTTAACTTATGTGACTACTAGAAAATGTAAAGTCATAGAAATGGCTTATTCTATACTTATGTTGGACAGCCCTGATCTTTTATAAAACAGCAATACATTGTTGCAGCTCATTCAAAAGAAAAAATACGTCTAATAGGAAGATAGGTAAATAGCAGGGCAAAATGTAATATTTGTTTTTTGTTGTTGTTGTTGTTTTTGAGTTGGAGTCTCACTCTGTCGCCCAGACTGAAGTGCAGTGGCCGCTCCCGGCCACCGCAGCCTCGACCTGCCTCCGGCGATCCTTCCGCCTCAGCCTTCCAAGTAGCCGGAATTACAGGTATGCGCTACCATGCCCGGCTGATTTTTTGATTTATTGTAAAGATGAGGTCTCGCTGCCCAGGCGGGTCTTGAACCCATGGGCTCAGGCAATCCACTCACCTCAGCCTCCCAAAGACACGGGATTACAGGCTGAGCCACCGAGCCCGTCTAATGTAATATTTGTAAAGAATTTCATCTCTTTGGTTTTGTTCACGGAGGTGAAAAAATGAGTATTTCAGGTTTTTTTCCATTTAAACACACAGGGCATTTGCCACTTGTATATTATTTATTAAAAAAATCTTTCCTCTTCTTCTGTTGCCAATCCAGTGGTTCTATTCAGAGGCCCTCTGTGGTATGGGGGAAAAGTAAAGAAAACACAGAATTGTGGAAATGATTGAGACTAAGAGGTCATTTAGGTCCACCTTCTTCATTTATAAGTTCAACTTGAGATACTAAGACATCAAGTAACTTACATGAAAAGTGCAAGACTAATACTGCCTAAACCACATAAGACATACATGGAAACTCATTATAGTCATTATAGTGTTCAGGGCCATTACAGACTTGTCTACATCACAACAAATATATCATATTTTGTTCCCCCTACAAAAACTAAAAAAGTATCTCTCTAATGGTACTAGATTTTAGTATTATGAATGACTTTGTCTTGGGGTACAAATCATATTTACATTCTTACTTGTTAAGAGTGGTTGAAAAAGCATCAGATTTTAGAGTCTGAAACCAAGTTTCAACACATAGCTCTGTACAACCGTCACTCTATTTTCTCATTGGTAAAACAGAGATACTATCATACTCAGGCAGTAAAATGACAGGAACACTGCCCATACCCCATTTATAGTGAGTAGATACATAATGTTAGTCCTCTTCTTTTTATTAAAAACAAAAAATGTGTTTCTTGACCCTTTCTCTTCTCTCCAAAATGTCAACCCAGAGGGAAAAGACGACTGGAGTGAGTTGTGAAACCCAGTTTCTAACTTTCATCTTCCCATTAAAAAGTTTCAAAGTCATGGGGTAGGTAAATCATTCAACCTCTCTAAGTTAAATTCTCCCTCTAGTAAAGTAATGAAGCCAAACCAACCAAAATGATTCAAATACAGTTGACCCTTGAACAACATGGGTTTAAGCAGCATGGGTCCACTTATATATGCATCTTCTTCCTTAGCTGCCACCCTGGAGACAGTAAGCCCAGCCTCTCTTCTTCCTCCTTCCCAGCCTACTCAATATGAAAATGAGGAGGACTAGGACCTTTAAGATGATCCACTTCTTCTTAATGATTAGTAAATATATTTTCTCTTCCTTATGATTTTCTTAATAACTTTTAAAATTTAGTTTATTTTATTGTAACAATATAATACATATAACATATAAATATGTGTTAATTGAGTATTTGGTTACCAGTAAGGCTTCCGGTCAACAGTAAGCTATTAGCAGTTAAGTTCTGAAGGAGTCAAAAGTTATACACAGACGGATTCCTGACTGAGTGGGGGTCAGTGCCCCTCACCTCCGCATTGTTCAAGGGTCAACTTGTAGTCCCATTAATGACCCAATGATGTATAACTATGCATGCCACATGGGCTTCTGAGACCTGAATAATATAAAGACAACTTAATGAAATCAAAGCTTTAAACATTTTAAAATTAATATGAACTATAATTTGACATTTCTAAAACATCTTAACTTGAGATACCATAATTGACTATTTTCTATATTTAAAAAGAACATTCTTAAAACTACTTACATCTGGCTGAATAGCTTTAAATACTGGAACATCCATTAGCGTTATCTGACCCTGAAGGTACAAAATAAAAATGACAATTTTCTTATTTGGAATTCTATAATATAGCATATATCCTAAATTAAAGTTATATCTATACTAAAATATTACCGAATATTCAATTTCTATAAGGGCTTACAGAAAATGAAAATTTAGCCCTTGCACCATTAAAAATAACTATTTCTAATGAGTTCATGTTTATTTGCATTTTCTTGGGAGATAGATTAATTAATGCCAGAAAATAAAAATAATTTAAAAAATCTGGATACAAGTCACACATATTAAACCTGAATTAAAACCAAAAATCAGATATACTGGTTCATGGAGCAAGGTTCTTGTTATGATAATGAAATTATAGCTCTTCACATAGTGACATAAAATCTGATATTAACAAGAAGGTTTAGACCAGCCCAGGCAACTTGGCGAGACCTCATCGTCTTTACAATAAAACAAAAATTAGCCGGGCATGGTAGCGTGTGCCTATAGTTCCAGTTACTTGGAAGGTTGAGGTGGAAGGATCGTCAGAGCCCAGCAGGTCAACGCTGGGGTGGCCGTGAGTGTGCCACTGCACTCCAGTTGGGGCAACGAAGTGAGACTCCAACTCCAAAAAAAAAGAAGATTTTCTTCCTAACTTATAAAAAAGTAATGAGACTACAATAAAGACAGTACATTCTGTCTAGGGCTTTATATGCTATGGATCTATCTCGCTACGACTGCAGATATATGACAAAATTGAACAATATCAAAGAATAATATGATATAACTAAGCACAATTTATTCCTGGAATGCAGGAGTGGTTCAACATGAAGAAATCAATATATTCTACTACCAATTAAGGGAGAATGAGAACATAAATACATTTATGTCAGTTAATGTTTTTCTAGATAACTTCCATGATATTGCAGTAATGCTTCCATATTTCATTTTCAATATTTTAACTTTAAAAAACAGCTTAAATATTTCTTAGAGCTGGGCTTGGTGGCTCAGCCTGTAATCCCGTGCTTTGGGAGGCTGAGGTGAGTGGATTGCCTGAGCCTGCAGGTTTGAGACCCGCCTGGGCAGCTTGGCGAGACCTCATCTCTACAATAAATCAAAAAAATTAGCTGGGTGTGGTAGCACGCGCCCTACTTGGAAGGCTGAGGCAGAAGGATCGCCAGAGGCCAGCAGGTCGAGGCTGCAGTGGATGGGGGCGGCCACTGCACTCCAGTCTGGGTGACAGAGTGAGACTTCAATTAAAAAAAAAAATACTTCTTAGATATATAAACAAAGCATGGTTATCTTGAGGAGATGGTATAGGCAGAGATGAAAGCAATTAGGATAAAAGTAAATACTTATTACTGGCCAAATTGAAGTGTGATATGCCAAGCTGCCCTGTAAAATCTACAGCTCTCCTCACCTTCCCCAGCTCGTCCCTCTGCCTGCTCCATAGTTGTGTCACTTTCCTCAACAATTCTCATATCTAGCTTTTTTTTCCTTTGCCATCTCCTTTGCTGGGGCTTACAAATTGTAACTCAATAGCACCAATATGTAATTATGTGCAAAAACCAGGGAAGAAAGCTGTAGGAGGCTTACCGCATATTCTTCTGGTGTAACTTTAAGAACATCAAATACCACAGCATCAAAGCTTTTCTTCAATTCAGATCCTTTGTCACTTAATGATTCAGAGCTGCTACTTTTCTGTTTAATTGAAAGAAAGTAAAGCCATTTCAATATTGTCTCACAGTCAATGTGGTAGAAGTCAGATGGGCCTCAAAAACTGAGAAGAGTGGGTTCACAAATGCTGCAGAAACGCTAAGCAGAACACGCTGTTTAGCTGTTAGAGCACTAGGTATCGGGTCAGGCAATTTGAAATCTAACTGCGGCTTTAGATGTTTTTAGGTTCTTCAGATTTTTAGGTTCTTGAATATGTCATTTTCTTATGTGTCAATTTCCTCATCCTGACACCCTATCACTTCCTACAGAAATAAAAGATTCTCAAATGGGATAAAGGGAAGTCATCAGAGGAGAAAGATATCCATCTATTTAGAATTTTAAAGCAAATTTTTATTAAGAAAAAGACAAATTACTTTTATAACACAAACCATTGGAAAATATTCAGAACCTCACTAATTAAAGAGTTGATAATTCATTCTTAGCTAAGTGGTATCTGTCAGTGATAGTACAATTAATACTATTCTTCCTATTATATTATAAATTTAAGTTTTCTCTGCTTTAAGGTTACTATTTTAAGTTTGAATATGCTGTTGCTATTTGAAAAAAAAAAGGTAGATTTTGGCCCTCAAAATCTTATTATTGTTAAATTTCTACTGTGTCAAGAAATAAAAATCCACTCTGCAACAGTTGGCTGAATTCAGAGAATTGTCAGTATAAGCCAGGTTCTTTTAAATGGTGGTAGGATATGAGACTATAGTTAATGGCACAAAAAATTGTTTCAATGACCACGGTATACATCAGTCAGCTCACCAGTTGCTATACAAACGTTTTCAGTACTTGTCATTATGCCTAATTTTTACTTTTCCTCCCTTTCTGCAACAGCTAAATATAAAGTATGGTACCACAATTATTAAAAGGAAAGATCTGCCATTAATTTTGGAAAATTCTCAATTACAATTACTTCAAATATTTCTTCTGCTTCTTTCTTGCTCATCTCCTTCTGGTATTCCTATTAAATACGTTACACTTTTGGTCATCGTCCCACAGTCCTTGGCTTTTCTCTTCCTTTTCCTCATTCTATTTTGTCTTTGCATTTCAGTTTGGGAAGTTTCTACTGACATATCTTTCAAGCCCATAGGTTCCTTCCTCAGCTGTCTACTGGTCACCAGTCTACTGGTAAGCTCACCAAAGGCATTCTTCATTTAGTCACGATGTTTTTGAATTCCAGCATTTATTTTTGATTTTTAGAGTTTCAATATCCCTGCTTAAAATTCATCTGCTTGTGCATGTTGTCCTTTTTTAAAAATCAGAGCCCTTAGCATATTACTGATCGTTATTTTAACTCCTAGTCTGATAATTCTAAAATCCCTGCCATACTTAAGTCTAGTTCTATTGCTTGATTTATCTCCTCAGACTGTGTTTTTTCTTGCCTTTTAGTATGACCTGTAGTTTTGTTTTGTTCTGTTTTTTACAGAAAGCTAGACATGGTATATTGGGTAATAGCATCTGGGATTAAATAGGCCTTATGCTACATTTATTGTTTGGTGGTGTTATGGGTGTCTGAATCTTCTATTTCCTCTAGTTTTTTCCTTATTTTTTCTCCCCTGTTGTTTTTGGGTTTCCCTCAAAATTCCTTCGTAAGAGCCTGCACCTTGCAGCTCTTTTAGCTGAAACTCTCTGTTATTACACAGGAGTCCTGATGATGTGGTGATAAGGTGTGTGTTGTGGGGGAGGGCAACCTATAGTACTATGATTAGGTTTCAGTCTTTCAGTGAGCCTGTGTCCCCAGATTGTGACCTTCACTTTTGCTTCTTAGTCCTCCTCACTCTTCTTAGGTGAGACAGGAAGGCTAGGGGGCCTGAAGTATTTTTCTCCCCCCAAGCAGGCTAGGCCCTGGTTAAGTAGTTTCTCTTGAGGGCAGGTGGAAAACAGAACCATTTTTCAGTATGGTTACTTTCTCTCTGGGTATATTGCAGAATGGGGGCTATAACCCTCCCCTTGCTAGAAAGCAGAAGGAAATTTGTCTCTGATCTTAACTGTGAGAACCTGGTGGGCATCGCAGAGGTAATAACAACTCACAAAAGTCCAGAGCGAGAGGAACCCAACACTGGGCCCCTGGGAGTTTTTACCTCTCAAGTTACCCGCCCTCCAGCAGTGCTTCAATTAGTTTATTCCCACCCTTTTCTGGGTCCATTAATTCTACTGATTCTCTGTACCTGCCTATTTCTCAAGGTTTTAGGGCATCACTGTTAGCTCGCTCTGTGATATCAACTATCTGATACAGCTAAGGAGTTACTGATTTTCCGTTTGTTCAGCTTTTTTTCTACTGTGAATGAGTACAGAAGTGATGAATTCCAAGCTCTTTACAAATCCTAGCAGAAACCTGAAGTCCCATTAGTGAATCCAAGAAGAAACCTGAAGTCCCATAAATAAAACAGTCTTCTATTTCATGTGTTTCATCTCTGTAACTACTGCTAGTTTACAGTATGTCAGCAGTATTATAATGTCCCAAAACTAATACAGAAACTAATTGAAAATGTTAAGTATTAAAATAGACATCAGTGAATCAGCATGTATCCTGATCTATGAACTGTCAAATTAACTAGATACATTCTGTCAGGTAAATACATTAATCTTAAACATAAGTAAGTAATTTTCTCCAAGTTTTTAACTAATTCAATACAAGTTAACAAATCATCATGGCAATTTTATTGTTTATTAAAAAGAAAAACACTATTCTTTTTTTTCTTACAAGTCACTAGTAGAGACTTAAAAATTACTAGTGATGTACTTTAACCTGTTTCCCCAATATCAATAATAAATTGGTAATGATAAGGAGCTAAGCAGTACTTAAGCATAAAGTCCACCAAGAGAACAGCAGTAATTCTTCATTTAGGGCAAGACTCAAAAACCCCTGCTACTTCTAAGTGTCTAAAAGTAAGTAACTGCACTCCTCCCACTGACAGGTGCTTCAAGCACAGGTTAAACATGAAAGGTACTGAGGAAGGAGAGGTTAACAGATTCAGATAAAAAGTATTTTATTCATTCTGTAAGCTTATCACTTTTATAAGAAATTTGCGTTTTGATATCAGTCGATCTGTATTTTAAGAGAAGGTAAAGAACTGAGTATTACATGTTCTCACTCATAAGTGGACCGAACAACTATTGTAATACTATAAGAAAAGGATTGGCAGTAGCAAGAAACCATGAGGGTGCGGGGGGTGGCAGGGAGGCAGGATTGGTAGTAGTGGGAATCTGCCTGGGAAAGGGAGAGCACACCTCATCAACAAGGGTACCTGTACAATGAACATTTGTATACCTAACCCTGAACTGTACCCCACATCTTTAAAATAAAAAAATTAAAAGTTAAAAAAAAAAAGAGAGGTGGAAAAAACATATTTTTATTTTCTTGGTTTCATAATAAGACAACTTAAAAGGCAGATTTTTTTCACCCTTACTAACAATACTACTCTGAAGTCTGATGTAGTACAGTCACTTTTAGGAAAGTCAACAGAATTTTTTATACAAGTGAAATGATCTATTTAATAAATATTTCTATACTGCTTTCTATGATACTAGACCAGGTGTTTCTGGACATATACTATACACATACATACATATAACATATTTAAGAAATATAGTTTTTTATATATATATACACATATATATATATATACACACACACATATATATATACACACACACATATATATATACACACACACACACACCAAGAAAATATACATATAATACAAGCATATACAAACATAATTTAATCCCTGTCTCAAGGAAGAAGAAAAGTTATATATAAATTTATGAAAATTAATTATTAATTATTAAAAAGAGTTTTTTAAAAGTGATAATTTCAAAAATAGGAAAGTTCCTATCAGTTTAGGGAATTAGGCAAGGATTTATTAAAAGTACAGTGTTTTAAATAAGTTTCAAAAACAAAATTTTTGGAAGTTTTCAGTAATGGGGAGGGGTACACTAGAGAAAAAAATTCCAGCTAGAAAAATTGATATAGGTAAAGTTAGGACAGGCAAAATAAAAGCTAACAGAGTATAAAGACATTAACAAATGTAGTATGCTTTCATTTCAATGTAAGTTTCAAGTAGAGAATTAGTAAAGTTACATTCATTAGAATGGAAATTGGGGGCCATTTTAAAGAAGGTCTTGAATAAAAGGCTGAAGAAGCATTTGAATTTAATCAGTAGCAATGAGGAACTACCAACGGTTTTAATATAACGTTTAAGAGTTTTATCTGAAGAATACTAATCTTAAATTTCAGTAAAAGGACCAGGAAAAAACAGAGAATAGAAGCTCAAGATCAAACTAAAAGGCCACTGCAATAATCTAGACAAAAAATAATAAACGATAAGACTAGGAAGTAGTACAGCAGTAGAAATAAAAAGAAAAGGCTTGGATCTTAGAAAGTGTGGTGGACAGGCTCCAAGACAGCTGCCAAGGTTCTCTATCTCTTGTGTGACCCTCTCCCCTTGAATGTGGGCAGGACTTGTGGCTTGTTTCTAACCAACAGAATATGGCAAAGAGGATAAGGCAGTCACTTCCATGATTTTATTATATCAGACGGTAACTTCTGTCTTGTTAGCAGTCTCTCTCTACTGTGATGAGACAATGGTTGTGGTGGGCAGAGACAAATACATTAATGACAAATCTACAGATTTAAACTTAGGTGGCTATGAAAATATGCTGTTGTTGACATAAGTCAGAGAAAAGGGCTGGACTATTTTCTTTACAGGTTGTGGGGCAGAACAGTAATAAGGAACTTGATGTTGTTCATATTATAAGTAAAATATCTTGACCATCAAAAATGCTTCATGGTATCAGAACACCAGACTTCAAACTTTACTATAAAGCTACAATCATCAAAACAGCTTGATATTGGTACAGGAACAGGCATATAGATCAATGGAACAGAATTGAGATTCCAGAAGCAAAACCTCAATTTCTCAACCAACTCATCTTCGACAAAGCCCCCACCACCTACCACTGGGGAGAGGAGAATCTATTCAGTAAATGGTGCTGGGAAAACTGGCTGACCACATGCAGAAGATTGAAACAGGACCCCTATCTATCCCCATGCACAAAGGTTAACTCCAAATGGATCAGAGACCTAAATGTAAAACCTCAAACCATAAGAACCTTAGAAAAGGAAGGAAATAACTCTCATGGAAATCGGAACTGGCATCCAATTCCTGTACAAAACCCGAAACCCACAGGTCATAAGAGAGAAGATAGACAAATGGGACCTTATTAAACTGACAAGCTTCTGCAAAGCCAAAGAAACCATCAAGAGAGCAGGGAGACAGCCTACAGACTGGGAAAAAGTATTTGCCAACTCTAGGTCTGACAAAGGCTTAACATCCTGGATCTACAAGGAACTGAAACGTACTGAAAAGAAGAAAACAAACAACCCCATTATAAAATGGGCAAAAGATATGAACAGACACTTCACAAAAGAAGACATCCGAGCAGCCAACAAACACATGAAGAAATGCTCAACCTCACTAATCATCAGGGAGATGCAAATCAAAACCACACTGAGATACCACCTAACTCCAGTCAGAATGGCAATTATCAACAACTCAAAAAATAACAGCTGCTGGAGAGGGTGTGGTGAAAAGGGAACACTTCTACACTGTTGGTGGGAGTGTAAACTAGTGCAACCTCTATGGAAAGCAGTCTG